GGCACGCCGGTGACACATTAAGGAGCAGCTGCTGAAGCAAGTGTAGATGTAATATACCCAACTGACTGCGGCAGAGCTGAGAAAACAGTCCAACCAGTAAATCCTGCAGAATCCAAGCACAGAAGAGTGATGTTATCCAATTTCCCATTTTACTATTTTATCTTTTGAATTATATGTGAGAGCAGAGTCTGTCACAGACTACCAGTGTTTTCCAGAGAACTCAGGACTTGAGAATTCAGCAGAAAACAACACAAATACAGGAGCAATTATTAGAGCCAAGGGCACCAAGGACCCCAAGAAAATGGTTTACTTTTCTTTAATTGCCTGTACTTTAAAGTAGTGCACATGGTGAAATCCATGTCTGCTAGGATGTGATAAAATCAGTAATCATCAGAAAGGACAACATTTTTTCATTCACTTAATTTAATGAATGCCTACTCAACCATTTTATGAAGGAGTGAAAGTTTTCAGGCATATTGCAAAGGACTAAAAATATAATCCATACTTTAAAGGGAATATTTAAACAAAAAGGGCTCAAAAGGGACACCAGGCAAACATATTTTTGTTTTATATTTTTCTCAAATATAATAACTGTACAGACATAATAACTTCACCAAAGCTGACATTACCAATGTCTTTTAGTAACATAACTGGAGGATAACAAAACTACTAATAATGATCCTTGAAATATATTCTGTATTTGAGTTTTGCTTTTTCTGAGGGCAGTGGGAGTGTAAAGGTATGGGAGGCTGGGAGGACAGGTATGTTATTATTCATAGAGTCAATTTCAGAAACTCAGGTACCTTATGGTTGCTCTACAATAATAAAAGTGACATATGAATAATAAATACATTCAGAAGCTTGATTCTTGTAATTATCTTCATAGCCTAGATCCAGAAGTATTCCCATCACATATCCAGGAATAAGGCACCAACAAGTTCAAACATACAGTGATCTTAATGTAAAAGAGCTACCATTTGATGATTTAACTCCAGGATGAAGGCAAAACTTTAAATACAAGGGGCACTAGAAAATACTTTCTACATGGACAGAAAAGTGATTTGGTTTCAGTCAATTAAAAAATAATTACTATGTATCAACACGGTAAAAATGAAAAAGACAGGTAGGCTTTATTGATGGTAGATAAGAGCATCTGGATTACTTGCAGCATTTACCATCTAATATAACAATGTCTCAGGAGGAGAGGAGTGACAAAGTTGCACACACTTAGGCAATACCAATAAATCCAGAGAATTCATATTGTCTTTTTTATTGCTCAAACTTTTGCAGTAAAAAAAAAAAAAAAAAAAAAAATACGGACCAGCAAGATTTCCAAGAAGTTAATACTTATTTCCATATTTAATATTTTTTTTCCTTTCATCATTTTTCATCATTACTTGCATTAGTTTTTTTAGAAATCTTTAATCCTTTTCAGTTGTATTCATGTGTTGCTGACTTCAACAGTAGCACACTTAATAATATCCTATGGTAACACAAACTAATTTCACCTAATATCCCAGTCAATAAGAAGTTTCTGGGAACACAGCTTGGAGTGATAAATAGCACTCTATCTATAGAGGTTTCAATTGCTCATAACACTAATGTAATTAAGTACTCATAAAGCCATGTTTTGTGGTGTGATAGTAACCATCACAACAGCCATTTCATGACCCTTTTTGACCCTTTGCTCATTTGAGAATGGAAGATACCACGACTTACAAATACTCCCTTGAAAAGTATATTCACCTACAAACATATTCTTCTTATAAGTCATGGAAATAAGTTGAAGCTGTTGCTCTTCTAAAAGCAAATACATGGTCAGAATGTAAGAGGAAATTTTTTTTCTGAGCTGAATCCTGCTTATGGCCAGGATTGTATGGACAGAACTGCTTCATATACCAGAAAATACACGTAATAATTTTGCATATTGGCAGTTTGAGACTATCCATTGTTTAAACCAATACATGAGAGATTACTTAAAATGAGACTGAAATCTAATGCCAAGCCAAATATGGATCTTTTAAACTTCAAAAGTACATCTGAATTATCCATAGTGAAAAATTAGAAAGAAAAATGTAATTGTTTTCATGGCATTTTTAAAATAAAGGTTCTTTTCACTCCTGGAAAATAAGTTTGCTAGAAACTTTGGGATATTGTCATCATGATTTGAGCAAACCTCAAATAACAATTCAAAATTGTTCAAATTAAAAAGCTGTTGAACTTTTCTTAAAGTTTTTAATAAGCTGTCAACATCTGCAGAATTGTATTTATGTGCCTTTTTACTCTGAACCACATCAGTGATATTCCTTTCTTCACAGTGAAAGATAAATTGTAATACAATCCACAGAGGGCAAAAGAATCATAAAGACCTTGTATGAGAAAGGAAATGATTTCTGAGATGGGGAAAGGTACAGAAAAACTTCTGGTAATATATTTTGCTACCTGAAGACCTTATATGGGTGGTCCAGACAGACACTTCTGTACAAGGATAGATAATGCTGTGCTATAACACCAACACATTATCTAAAATATGTACCTTATAGATGGAGTGTGAAAAGCTGAAGTACTTTTCACATTGTAGAGTCCTTTTGATGGCCAGGACTGTAAATCAAGTACCAAGACTTTTTACTCAATCTATGGCATGTCCATCCAACAGAGCCAAATAATTTCAGTAGGTTTTTTTTTTTTATCTACCTAATTCCAGTCAATTAGATGATTTATTTAATAATTCATTCCACAATTTCAGATGTATTCTTAAGGTTTTCTGATGTTACTATATATTACTGAATAACTTTCCATGGGCAGTTTTACCACAGTTAAAATAGTCTTTTATCAGTAATGATATGTGTCTGACTCTTCTTTTTTGGGCTTTTCCTTTGTTTTTGACATATAAGAATTATTATGGATGCAATGATATTGGCATATAGAAAGTATTAGGAGAAAACCTATTTTAAAATTATAATTAAAATTTTTATGTGCAGTTCTTAAATTTACTGCTGGATCTCAGAATGCTTAAAACCTGTTTCCTCTTCTCTGACACCTTTTATTATGTGTACATCAAAAATATTGTACCTTTATCTTCTCTTCCAATTTTAGAAAGGCAGTATAATATGAATACAATAGTCAGATGATGCACAGTGACTGGTTTCCTAGGGCTCCCACAGCCAAATAGTAAATGCAATATAAATTTAAGATCATTTCACATCCTTGAAAATCCCTAAGAAAACATACCTGACAAACAAGCCTACCTTATATATGTGACAGTCTTACCTTTGCCCCTTCAAATGCCCCCACAGCCAAGACTGAATTTAATTTAATGTGGATTGTAGTTTAATCTTTCTAATACATCCATGAAAATCATAAATTCAGTTTTATCGTTCTTTTCCAACCTGCTGTGAGTGCTATACCTGAGAATTAATGCTTCAAAAAATCCCAAGGGATAATTTCTTCCTTCTTCATAAAAAGACACCACCTTCACACTGTTGCTATCAAGTCTTTTGGGATTTTGTGTGTCTTGACACTAGCAAACTCTGTGTAATATGCGATTAGTATGTAATAGTAAGAGACAAGCTGTGTTTCAGACTGATATGTCTCTATTTATTGTTTCCTGCCTTTCACTTCATGCCAATATTTGTTACCGCCTTATAGTACATACCCACATGGCCTCTCATTTCCTTTATTGTGCATATGGTGTGACACAGCTATCCTTTTTATTTAGAGTACTGTAAATTATTCTTAACTGTGTTACAGATTCCAGAAGTGATTCATTTATATTAAAATGGATAATGTGCTGTGGGTAAACAGGGATTTTTTTCAGAATTCACCAAAACATTCATATGTGTGTGTAATATATATATATATATATAGATATAGATATATAGATATATAGATATAGATATGTATATGGGTGCATTTCAAAGCTTCTCTTTTTAGTTGTCAATGCAAATAATGCTTAGTTTACAAATGATTTTAAAATGCTGAAACATTTGGTTTTGGTTGCCTACGTGAAGCAGATTTGTGTAACAGCCTGCTTATGTTAGAAAGCAGATCATAGATCATATTGAGTGCAACTAGCACTAATTGGCAAACTTGGCAGCTTGATCAGAAAGGCTAAAAACTAAGTGGGCAATGGAACTGACCTTCTTTTATGAGTTAACACCAAAGCACTCTGCTGAGCCAGTGCAGAGAAATCTGTTGACCCTATCACTTTTCTGTGTAGGGTTTACTTCTCTGGGGCTGTCAATCCAATCTTTTTCAGTAGCAATAAAACTACTAATAAACAAGTGTAGAAACACATAGCAAAAGAGTAGAAATGTCTACATTCCCAGAATTACTTAGAAGGTGGGATTCTAAATATATGTATCTAAAATGTATATGATAGAATAGTGTGGTATGGTAATATATTGCAATTGTCATGTATCTTCAGTGAACCTTTGTTGAGTAAAGTGTGTCCTGGGAGTTACATTTGGGAATGGCAAGATGGAGATAAGAGACATTTTCTTCAGAATTTTGTGTCATTTTTGAGGGGAAACTTCAGAGTATACTGAGTTGAAAAATAATGAATCAGTATCTTGATACTACTAGGCCTCCGTAAGGTTTTTTCAAACTCCTTAGGTGGGAAACACACTATATTAATACTGTATTACTCCACCTTACTAGGAAAAAGAGAGCTTCTGCCTCACAAAAGTCCAATGTTCGCAGCAGCTCTTTCCTAGTTATGGCACAGACATGATTCAGTGGAAAACTTTAATGGCTGTGTACATTATGTCTCAGTAACTATGTTTGTATCTTGTATTTTAGCACACAGAACTGAAGCTCATATTTTTATTTGGCATTTGGTTTGCAGAGTCAGTTGTCCTTGAGTGCTTCCAGATCAGTCTTTCTAGCCTGTTATCTTATATTTATTCAATGGTTTTGCAGTACCTCTAGTGAAAACATGTAAATACATCTGTATTTCTAAATATCATAATACTTCATCTGTTCTTCTTTACTCTCCATAGGCATTATTAGCCCTAGAATTGCTGTCTTTGTTGTTTGGGAAATCACCCTGGGAAGGCAATCTCTTCAGATGAGTGACAAGCCTTTATCACCTCCTCCACCCCCTACCACTTTCCTGACTGCTTAAGGGACTCCAGAATTTCTGCTTCAATGGATGGCAAATACCTTTGCAGCACGTGCACAGTGTCCTGGTTTAGAGAAGAAATACAGGTGAAATTTGGAGATATGGATCTGATGATTTTACTGTCTGAATACACTAATGATGTATTTCCCTGCACCCATGAATGAAAAGAGGAAAAAATGAAAGTAAAAATCTTTACTTTGTGGAAGTCAAACCCCAAATGTAAGAAAACATAGTCACCAAATTGTGGAGATTCAGGCCATCCATGTCCTTCTCAAACACAATCAGCAAAAATTCTTTTCCATCATAGAAGAAAAAGATGGATGCAATAACCACTAGCCAATGTGTTGTTTGCAGTCCTTCTACCAGCCATTTCTCTCTAAAGTTTATTGGTTATACATTCAGTTTTATCTAGGAAAATGTTTTGGTTTTGACTTCTGTTTTGGCTTTTTTTTTCTTTCCTAGTGGATGCAAGTGAGCAATTTTAGTTCATGATTTGCTAATTTATTTGTTCAGATTTATACACATACTCTAAGTATTTTGAAGGCCTTTACTTGGGCCTGCAGTTTATGCTATCTTCTATCCTTTTTAATTTACATAATATTTACTGCTAATGATTTGTACGGCAGAACATAAAACTACCTCACCTCTGTATAAATTGCAATTCTATTAGACTACAATAGGTAGGAATCTGGTCCAAGAATTTAATGTCAAACAGTATAACATGGTTGCTTCCTTGGGCTTAAAATGCTATATATTTTTAGAAGAGTAAGATTTTTCTGCACTAACCCTCCCTATTTCTGTCTTGCACTTCCTGTAAAATTCTTTGAGTTTCACTGAATATTACAGTCCAAATAAACTTTGGTTCATTGACTTCAAAGCTACGAGGAAAGATTATTTAGCAGAATTTGCTATTTTAGCCATTACAGTTCAATATTAGTCCACGTATCCTGTGTTATAATATCATCATATCTGAAATATGTACAAAAAGTCATCTGTACACAAACTGTATTTTCTGAATGGGAAAATTAGAAACATTGCACAAAACCACAGAGCAAGCCAGATATTTATACAACCTTTCCCTGTCTCAAAATCCTCTGACACATATTTTTACAGGAAGAATTTTGGTCACACTTTAAAGGACATGTGTCTCTCCATGGGAAATATACAATATTGGAACTATTGTCTCATCTGTGAAGATGACATTTGGGATTTTTATTTGCCTCAAGGCATCTGTTGGACTTTTACAACATATTCTTTTTATTGGTGTCCCTAATTGAATATAAGTGCATATTGAAAAGAAAGTTTTATTACATCAACATTGCCTCCTTTATTTAGAGTAGTTAATTTATATATTTAATCTGTCACTCTCTCATCTTTTTTTGCTGCTCTGCAGAGTATCTTATTTTGAATTTCTGCATCTCTTGCTGGCCATAAATACCTTCTTTGCACATCCTGGTGAGCATCATGCTAAACTTTCTGATAGGTAATTTGTGATCAAAATTGTGATTAGCATTTAAGTGTTCTTAGCTTATTGAGATGAAAGAGAAAGAAGTAAGTAAGAAAGAAAGAAAGAAAGAAAGAAAAAGAATGAAAGAGAGGAAAGACATCAGATTGTGAGATGGAGAATAAAATAAAAAAGAATCTTTAAATTAAAAATTAATATCGAATATAATTATATAATGAATATATATAATTACATATAACACAATAATACAATTAAATATTATTATACATTTTAAATATATTTAATTATATGTCTAATATATTATTAATATATATTTATATATATGTGGATCTCTATCCTTCCAAGGCTGTTGGTGCTGTTTGTGCCCATTTGCATGTTCTGTCTGTCTGGGATCTGTGTGGGTGGTGAATACATACATGGTTCACATAAGTGCTGTGTGTTTGTGCCTGCTGGGAGCACACCCCCACTGCTGGTTGGACCAGGGACACAGAGGTGCTGCAGCTTCTCACCTCTGGAGTTGTGGAGTGCAGTGTGGTACATTTTCTTCTGACTGAGTTGAGAATGATGCCAATGATTATGATGATAATAATAAGGATAGCAATAACAAATGTTGTAGAAGACATGTTCCTACCTTTGTGCTTAGTTCAGGAACGGGGATCCCAGCAGTCACTCTGATGTGTGTTTCAAACATACCGGTTTAAAATCTTTTGTGCTTAGGAAGAAGTATGATGAAGCCTGTGCTCTTCTTTCACGGCTATGAGCACCAGTGAAACCTATCTTGATTAAATATACCCCAGGTATATCTGTGAGGCAGCTAGACAACTGCTTTTGAAGCAGTACCCTAACTGCAGTAGCCTAAGGTATGTAAGTGGAGCAAATTTTTCAAGAAGCAATAGATTTATTGGATGTAGCCGGAATATGTAAGCCAGCCTTTGGACATCTTTTGCTCCCTTGTCAAGCTGCAGCTTAGAAAATTTATTCAGGCTAATGCTTCCTGGTCAAACAGATTGAGCAATGAGATAGGGTGCCTTTGGGCAGCATCTATGTTGTCAGAGAGCTGAAATCTCTTGGATATCTCCTTTCTGCTACCTGCCTAGCTCTGCAGTAGCACTTGCTGAGCTAAGTAAATAAAGGCGTGTGAAGGACCCGAGATAGTTGTCTTGTAGGACCTCTGAGGGTTTAGAATTCATAGCTCTTTTTAGAATGTGCCTCTGTTCTGTGTTTGCATACCCAGCTCTTTACTGTCGGACTACTATTGGCCAAAAAATGGAGCACACTTCCATTTTTTCCAAAAAGTACTACAAGAATCATGCTGTATGTGTGACTGGGAATGTTATAGATATAGACTATATAGCTCACTGGAGACTTTTGTTTATATATTAAAAATCCTTTTTTTCCCAATCCTAGCTGAACTTTAAGAAGTAACTTGCCTTTAAATTTCTCAATATTTAAGGAACAGTTTCACCTACTTTCTCCAAATACTGAATACTGTAATAATTACCACTTTTGATAAAAAAAAATTCTAGAAAGTTAAACACTGCTTGTTATTTTTAAGACACCTTTTAATTTAATTTATACTCTACTTTCGACTGATCAAGCCAGTTTTTAGACAACTGTTACGTTCAAAACTGTTGGTCATAAAATATCATGATGAACGCTGATTAGTGTATCAATCCAGTGCCAAATTACTTCTAAAGTTGAAAATATTTCTAATATATTGAAAATAGTTTTGGTTTACCAAGTGTGGTAGTGTTTACAGAAGGGTTAGTCTGATGCATCAAGAATCCCTTCCTTTTCTTTTCAAAGCTCAGGAATTATACTTGTTTTACTGTTTGCCTGCTTGTCTATCAGAAATGTGTATTATAAATTTAAAATTGTTTCTCTTTGTCCTTCTGCCTATTTTCCATGATTAGCTGAAGGTTTTGCTGAGAATAAATTCAATTAGTAGTATTTAAAATAAATAATAATTTAAATTATTTTGCTGATTTTTTTTTATTCACAAACGAAAAGAATACTGATTGCTACATTTTTGGATATATGGAATTAAAGAAAATAGAATTTGAATGCTTTTTAATTTTCTCATGCTTAGATTATACTGCATACTAAACAAAAAACATGGCTTTAGAGGCAGAGCATACTGTGAGCTTTGAGTGCACTGTTAGCTGACACCGGTGAGTTAATTAATTGAGAGGGTAGCAGTATGATAAATGGGGTATGAGTAGCAACTCCAACAGGATTTGATCTGCAAAGAACTCTATCCTGTCTAATCAGAAGAGGAAGCTATCGGTCAGTTTTGAATATGCTAGGAGACATGCAGTATTACACAATGATAAAAGAGCCTTCAGTCTGATGAAATCATGAGAGAGTCATCTAAATTTTCCATTATATAGTTATATAGTTATTGTCCCATTATACAGTGAATGGAGCTTCCATTAGCAAGTCACTCCTATCCCATAGCAGGATTTAAAATTGTAAACAAAGTATGGTAAACCTGAAGCCTCGTAAAACATCTGTGGATTGATGGGGTGAATGCTGTTCTTCGATCTTGTCTTTGTGTGTATTTTCAGAACCCAGCCAGGTAATCCAATTTCTATGTAAGGAAGAAGGGAATTCAGTAAAATAATAAGACAAATGGACATTATCACTTCTCCAGATAGTTACATCTTTATAAGGCCTTTCAGACTACAAAGGTATTTCAAGTTTTGCAACATGAAACATAAATAAAACAGCTGATTTCAATATTGTTCTCAAAATTCTACTGACAAAAATACATATATATGTATATGAATTGTGTTAAAATAATATTTTCTTCCATGTTCTTGTAGAATATCTTAAGGATAAATGAAACTGGCAGCAATCAAATACTCCCTGAATACCTAAGCAGATTGCAAGTATTTGCAAGGTGTTGCATTGCAGTATATCCTAGGAACACAGTAATGTTCTCATGGAATTTTGATGAAGGTTATGCTATTGTTCTTCAAAATTCTTTATGTACCTGTCTTGAAGAAATGCTAAAAAAGTCAAGCTTAGCATCTTACCTTTTCTGCTTTGATTGAAATTTCCTACTGAATTTGATCTTTTGCATTTCTAATAGAATCATGATGGTCATTAATAACTTCACATTTTTTCAAAACTGTCACCACACAGAGAGGTTAATTACCCTTGGTGAAAATGGAAAGGTATAAAAAGAACAAGGTTGCCAACAAGGCTGAATCTAAAAAAAGACTGACAGGACACCTTTGTTAAAACTTCAGAAATCCACAATATATGTTCTATAAAATTTTAATGTAAATACATATACTTTAGATAGAGATTTAAATGCAATCTAATGAAGATTCTTTAGAACATGAATATCAGATGCTCAGCAGAGTATCGGAGGCTAAAAATTAATGACACTGACTGGACTGAAAGAGAGGTGAGAAGGACAGGTGAGGGTAAGTTTTATTTTTATCTTGCCTGACTTTGTCTTTAAACAATATCAGTTGCTTTCTCTTTTATTTTTTAATATTGTTAATTATCCTGTTCTTAATTCTCCACCCACGTGTCATTTATTTTTTTCCCCCTTCTTTTTCTCTATTTACAGTATCTCTTAACTTGGCCATTAGAGTTCATTTATTTTCT